TTCTCAGCATTCCATTTCCCCTTCATTGGCAAGTTGAAAAGTGTTAAGATTTGAAAGAAGCAAAGTGATTCAATCTTGGCATTTTAGCTTCTTTTTTCCCCACAATCCATGTTATAATTAGCTATGCCATGGAAGATGTCTGATCTCAACACAACCACTGTTCCTAATCTCCTGGCTTGGGTTGATGTCATCTGAAGGTTGATCTGCTCCAAACTTAATTGTCACTACAATTGATGAGACTGAGTGAAGGTTTACTTCTCATCTGAAGCTTAATAAAATACTCCTTGTCATACAATACAGGTGACAGGATATCGTTAGAAGAATATAATGGAGCTTGTCTTACATTGCTGAACCATCAAGCAGAAAGTCTATCAACTCACATAACTTTTCATTATTGATGAATTCATTAAGAGTTAGTTCTTAATTCAATAAAATAGCTTAGCAGATTTGCCTGGAAAAGATGGTTAAGAATACAAACATTTGGGACTTTACAAAGATTGAGATAACATTGAACATTTACTCTACCAATGCTAAGTATTTTCTACTGTTTTTATTATTAGTGTAAAAAACTAAAAAAAAAAAGGACAGATACGCAGACGTCTATATACTTCCAACCACGTAATTCAAGATGATTTGTGAAGACCCCTTACAGGAGTCCTTGACTTACAACCTGTTCTGACCCAGGCTTCCTTACAAAGGAAAAGCAAAGTCTTAGTCCCAACAAAACCTTTTATTTACACGACTGTGAATTCCTTTCATTCACAGTCAGCAAGTCTTGGCAAACAGTCTTTCAAAGGAATGTTTATCCACACGCACCTTATCCCATTAGATGCGCTGCCAGATAACTAGAGTCCAAACACAGAGCAAAGCAAAACTTGGCACAGAGTTTCTCACAAACAGAACTTTCCAGACCGATGAACAAATTGTTTCCTGCAAAAGCCCACTCCACATTCGCTCCTCTTTCATTTCCTATGGGAGGGACCAATCACCTCCAAGGTGTGGCTTTATGCTTTCTTAGTTGTTCTTGTCATCTGGCAGCTCTGCGCATGCACGCAGTGGGAACAGGCTCCAGCTGTTCCTCTGCCTCGCGGCTGTCTAGCTCCCTCAGCCTCTGACACAGAGCCCTCGTCTCAGTTTTCCTCAGCCTCCAGGACTGGCCCATGTTCCTCCCCAACCTCGTTATTGTCCGATTCTGCTGCCAGCTCTGCAGGCTGCTGGCAGACCACAACACAACCATTGCTTAGTTTGAAGTTACAATGACACTGAAAAATGTGACTTTACAACTGGTCCTTGCCAGGGGTGGGTTCCGGGAGGCACTACTGCCAGTTTCCTTTGCCCGTGCATGCACAGGGCAATTAAAATTGTTCTGCGCATGCACAGAACTGGAAAAACAAGATGGCGGTGCCTGTGGCGCCACCCAGAGAACCAGTTTGGTGGTGTTGCAGACCTGGGTCTCTGCTGGTTCCAGTGACCCAGGCCACCAAAACACTACCGGTTTGGCCGAACCAGTCTGAACCAGTAGGAACCCACTACTGGTCCTTGCCCTTGCAACTGCTGCGGCATCCCCATGGTCACACGGTCAAAATCCGGATACTTGGTCACCTGCATATATTTATACTAGACATTTGTAGCATCCCTGGGTCCTGTGATCACCACTTGCGACCTTCCTGGCTGAATTCTGGCAAGCAAAGTTGGCTTAATTCACTTAATAATTGCAATTAGCAATAATTGCCTTGCTTAGCAATGGAAAATTCTGATCCCAATTGTGGTCATAAGTCAGGGATGGCTAAACTTTCCCGGACCAAGTGCCCAAAGTGTGTGTGCATGCGCGCAAATACATGCACGCGCACCCGAACCCCCCCAAATGCAATGCGTGTGCGGCCCTATGCATGCACCCCTCCCCCCCACGCATGCGCGGCAGAGACCCGAAGACCAACTGGCTGGCGAGAGGTGCACACGCATTTGCGGAGGAGGTGAACTGGAGTGATGGCTTGTGTGCCAACAGAGAAGGCGCTGCTTGCCACCTCTAGCACGCATGCCATAGGTTTGCCATCATGGTCATAAGTCAAGGACTATTACTACACATAACTCTCTACAAAAATCCATTAAAAGAAACATAGTTTATTCCAGGAATAAATTAAGTCAGCTCACATAATGAATCTGGATGTCCGTTCTTGGCAACACAAGAGCAGAATACACATACATGCATACATACAAACATACATGCATGTATGTTTATATTTGAAAGGCAGAGGTGATTTGAAGCAGATAAGGATTCTGCATAGCACTAATTGTCCAGTTTCTGGCAATATCTGCCACGTAGAAAAGGGGAACAGTAAAAGCGACCTCCCAAGCATTTTTGAGATTTTTTCTTCAAAACAAACACTAAAAAGAGCTGAGTTTGCAGCTCAAGGCTGGGGTGTGTGCACTTGTGATTTCTTTTTAAATAGAAAGGAAAACAACTCACTCTGAGACAGGAGCAAAGCTGTGCCAGACTTTTCTCTGTCGGCCTGAGTCAACATTTCACTTGGCTGAAAGAGATAAAATGTGTGAGCTTCTCAACTTTTGGGGCATAACAGTTTGCTGAATTGACGGTGGCGGTTAGAATAGAAATGGAGATTTTTTGTCCCTAGATTACTGCTTTTCCAAGAAGGAGAAAGTGCATTAATCTTCAGAGTACGGATCAATAACCCCCTCATAATTTGTCCAATAAATAAATAATTTGTTAAATTAATTATTTTAATTACATTAATAATTTGTCCCAAGGGACACGGTGGCTCGGTGGTTAAGACACTGGTTGGCAGTTCAGCGGTTGAATTTCTAGTGCCATGTAATGGAGTGAGCTCCCTTTATTTGTCCCAGCTTCTACCAACTGAACAGTTTGAAAGCATGTAAAGTTGCAAGTAGAAAAACCTTTGATGGGAAGGTAACAGCGTTCCGTGCGCCTTTGGCATTTAGTCATTCCGGCAGTGGTGGGTTTCAAAAATTTTTTGAACCTACTCTGTAGGTGTGGCCTCCTTTGTGGGAGTGGCTTGCCGGCTATGTGACCTGGTGAGAGTGTCTCGCCGGCCATGTGTTTTCTCTCTCTCTCTCTCTCTCTCTCTCTCT